TTTTTTTTTTTTTTTTTTTTTTGAGATCTCAGCCGATTGGGATCGGATACATGCGGAAAGAGCAAATCTATTTTATGCCCTCTGACGTGGCACCCCACTAGATGCCTTGTACTTGTGGGTCCCATTCTTTTTTTTTTTTAATTTCTCTTAGGTATTGATTGTATATTTATCGCATTATTAACTTTGTATTAAAGGGAGAATATTCAAAAACAGAGCAAATACAGTTTTATAACTCTTATCTCAAAGTAAATCTCGGAAAGAGCAAATCTATTTTATGCCCTCTGACGTGGCACCCCACTAGATGCCTTGTACTTGTGGGTCCCATTCTTTTTTTTTTTTAATTTCTCTTAGGTATTGATTGTATATTTATCGCATTATTAACTTTGTATTAAAGGGAGAATATTCAAAAACAGAGCAAATACAGTTTTATAACTCTTATCTCAAAGTAAATCTCGGAACATGAAAACTGTTATTTGAATAAAAAATTTATATCTAAACGGTCGAAAATTAGAGATAAGTTTCGGATTAATTTTTATATACTGCTTATTGTATATAAATTATTTTAAAAAAAACTAAAAAGATTATATATTCGACCACTTAGATAAAAAAAATACGATATAAAATACTATTGTTATAGTTTTATAATCTCACTAACCATTGAATATGAACCTGTGACGTATTTGGATACATAAAATGTACTTTCTAGCATATCATAAATCTAGTGCGACATTATCAAGGAAAACAGATTAATTACTGTTGTAACTCTTTAAACACCTAAATTTTAAGGATTTACTAGAGCACTTTGTATCTAATGCCAATAACAGTGATGAAAAATCTCGAATATTAGTTTGATTTTGTTTGGTTATTTTAAGATTTAGATTTATCGATTTTAGAATAATTATATTTGTTTAATTTTATGTCGGGTTAAATTTCTTTTCAATGCGGCTTTCAAATTCAAAAAATTTATATGCTAAAATGATTTTTTACTTTTTCTGGTTTTCATATTTCGTTCGGATTAGATTAGTTTGAATTAATTAAAAAAATCATTATTGATCTGTTTTTGAGAATTTGTCTAATATACAAATTTATTTGGATTGGTTAAATAAATGAAAATGAAATGGTCACCTCATTTTATGCAGTGTGATAGTATATTAGTAATATAAGATTGAACAATTCAAGCTTAGCCCTCGTCTTTGATATATGAAACCGATTATTATCACAGTATCAAAATCTACATAGGATTTAAAAAAATGTCAAACGTTAATATTATTTAGGGAAGAAGGGGCATAATTTTTCTCAGGAAAAATTAAATTTGACGATATTTTCTAGCTAATTAAAATATTAAAAGTTCAAAGGAAATTAGGATTAGGTTTGGCGGATGGTGTAAAGATTTAGGTAACTAATCCAACTTTAGTTCTTAAAAAAATTTAAAATTAAGTTAACACGAAAAGTGGTCCCACTTTTTTATTTTTTAATGTCGAGATTCTTTGTTACAGCTTCTGTAATATTTAAAAACAATTAAAGTTTATATGAGGGCAAAGAAAGCAATTAAAATTTATTTGATCAAGGACAATTAAACTGTTAACAACAAACTTTTTATATAAGTTAATATTATATATGGATATTTCTATTTTAGTTTAGTTTATTTTAAAAAAATTATATATTCAATTTTTATATCGAATTTTATATCGATTCAAATTCTAATATAACTAAATTAAAATTTTTCAATAAATAACTGTTTATTTGGTATAAAAAATATTGTTTTCAATTTGATTTGGATTACTAATGTATATTATTTCGTCGAATTGGATTTAGTTTTATACGAGAGTTCTGAAATATCACCTGAAAATAAAACATCAATAAGGTTAGTGAAGACATCGGAAATAGGTAAGCTTTTTTTTTTAATAAAAAAATTATAAATAATTTTCTTGCTTTAATAATATTCCTTTTCATACGCAATGGTTCTCCCACTAGCCGCAAAAGCAGGAGAACTTCACATGTTTTACAGAGCTACGGACATCATTATACTCCAATTAAAGCTAAGCCTCATGTGTAATAATTAGTTTTTTTCTGGGAATAATAATTAATTTTCCATTAAACTTAATAATTGGGGAAAAGAACTTCAACGTATTGTTTTATTCTAATTCATTTTTTTTATATTTCTTTTCAAAGTGCTTTACAATTAATCTAGACAGGAGTAGTTCCCGACTTTCAGCTCTACGTATATGAAAATGCTTTTGGACCTTCCAATTTCAAAACAATATTTTATTTTTATAAATATTTCTTATTCTAAGGAAACATGTATTAATCAAACTTAGAGAAACTATAAAAAAAATGTTCAACGTTGATGGATATTCTGTGGGTCTAACATTATTCCCTCAAATTTAAAATAAAAATAAATTTCATCAATGATTTTTTCTTAAGGTATTATTCTTTGGTCATTTGAAGTCAACATGTCAAGAAAATTATCGCTCCACACATCAACATTAGCGCTTATATTTCTCTTTAACATAACAAATTGCAAGTCTTTGAAAGAAGAGAGAGAAATAAAATGAAACTAACAAAGCTAAATAATTGGGTTATCCGAAATTTAATTAGAGTTTTATATACAAATTAAATTATAAAAATTTATTTCCCGAACCTCTCTTATGAAAATTTATAGGTAAAAGCCAAAGCGTTCATTTGCCTATATTTCGTTAGCATTATGCAAAGGTTTTGGCTCGAGTGTGTTACATAGAGAGAGAGGAGGAAGAAATCTTCCCTGTCGGAAAGACTCTGGCAGAAGTAGATGGTCTCTAAGGGTAAATATGTCTTTTTATCCTTTGCTGGTTGATAAATTAACGAGGGGGGAAAGGATCGTTTTGTAAGCTCTGGTGTATAAAAGATGGGTTTGGGGAAGAAGCTTCACTTTCCTTTTGCGAGTTTCTTGGAGCTACTATAGACGTACGCACGCAAATATTATACATTATATACGTATACGTGTGTAGACAGATAGATACACAGGAGTCTGTGCACGTGAGTGTAAGTGCCCGTGCACGTGAGGAGTTGCAGATGATGTCGGGAGGGGCAAACTCAAGATTCCGACCGAGTCTTCGGGTTTTGCCAAATGGGTTTTGCTTGGTGAGTGGCTCTGCCTTCTCCGGTTTGGCTTCTGTCTACTGCCATTCTCCCATCTTGTCTCTTCGTACGGACTCTGTCTATCTGTTATTACGTAACCCAAAACCAACATTTTCTATTTTTTCTTTATTTTTTATGCAGTAAAATTGATCGATGAATTATCGAAGTGATTACTAAACTTTTCTTATATGGAATGTAGAGACAATTTTGGAGGAGAAACTATAGGATATCACTCTATCTACAAAGAAGTAGATAATGATTTAGATTTTTTTTTTAAATCAATTTAGTAAAAATGGTATTCTATTGTTCAAATGGTGTACATGTATATATAATATGTATGTATTCTAGAAAATAGATTTTAAATTTAAAGTTTTATAAAATAAATAAGAATTTGATTATTAGATTGCATGCTTTTGTTTTTCATAATAATATTTGTTTCCAATTTATATGGTCAATCAACATAAACTATTAACTTTTTTTTAACATTGTTTTCTGTTATTTTTGGTCTATAATCTTTTCTTTATTAGAGACGTATCAACATGTGATATAGTATATTATTTCTCTTTGATATAAATAATGACACTGACTGAAATATTTTAAAACTATATGTAAATTTGAACCCTTAATTATATAACACTTTAATACGTGTGAAACTATCATAAATATTATCTTCTTTTAAAACTATGTATATCAAAATAATTTTCAATAAAATATTACTCAGAGAGATTTTAAGGGGGGAAACCTAAGAAAGGCTATTTACGTACGTGTTTATGAATTCGTTATAAATAAAACTCTTTCAACGACAGATTCTAGAAATTGTATTTTCCAATGTTACGTGGAAGATATTCTTGTCTATGTACTAACATTTGACATGTTTAAATAATAACTCGTCATCATTTCATCATAATGGTTTCCAATGATACTGAGAAAATAAAATATATCTAACATCTAGCATGAGGCATGCACATAATTGATTCCCTTACATGAAAATATGATGATGATGATGATGATGATGTGAGACATGTCATGTCGAAACACTATACATCTGGCGATAAAATTTATATCACTGCAAATTTCCATTCGCGTGAGGCCAAACTCTGTCGAGTGAGTTATAGCTTTCATGAATGTGAGTTCATTTTTGTCCACAAAGAACATCTCACAAAAGTAAATCGTACAGTTGCGGTGTGTGTATATATGTGGTGAATACCAAAATCTGCATATATATACATATATATATATATATAATAAATGAATGAATATATAAATACATACATATATATATGTACATATACTAATTATTTTTATAATGCTATTTTTTAAAATATGGGAAAACATGTGGCTCTTGGTAACAAGTATATGATTGGATAAAATTATAATAGACGGTCAACCTCGATTGCTCCAGTATCGAGAGACAGCTGCACATGTGAGTGATTGCGGACACACATAGCTACATACATTTCATTTACTTACAATTTACAAATATAATTGTTTTAATTTATTTATATAAGATTTATTTATTTTATTTAAATATTTTGGTATTCCGTTTAAAGAGTTTCGGATGTAAAACATTTTCTTTTGAAAGATTACTTCTGTTTCAGTGCATGGATGAAATGTTGGATGGATGAAATGTTGTGAATAATCTAGTTATATATTTTCTGTAAA